AAATTATTTTCTCTTTCCCTATACTACGGAGTGACATCACTCTGGATGACAGAACACAGATCCAGATTACATGGGCCAACTACACCTATGAACAATAAAATCCTGATTTACCAGCTGTGTTCTTCCTCTTAGCAGGCCAGCTGCTTAGGGGAATCCTACAGACTCATACAGAAATGCAGACCAGTCATTACAGAAAATTCTACGACAAGGAATCATGGTCTCTAGGATTTTTCTTATGGAAAGATGACAAAGAATTTAATGCAGGCTGCTCATACCACTGATCCTTAAGGAATGGATGGCTGGCAGAGGAAAGCAATGCCATTGCAGAGCAGCAGCAGACATATTATAATTGTAATTAAACATTTGTTACATATTGCAGGGTTGTAGGTCAAAGTCTTCCTCAAAAATCTTGAGATGAGCTAGTAAGTTCAGCTATAAAAAAGAGTGATGTTCCTCCTGAGCAGGTCAGAAAATTCATATCAAAGCAAGGCATAAAGTACTGCCATTTTATCCTTATTTACTCATCTTCAAATTAATGCATTGAATGCCCAAAACACAAAATGATTCCTTGGAAAGAGTTCCGTTACAGTAAAGGTTATCACATTTTCTTAATGTTCTCTTGCCAAATATTACGCAAGTATATGTTCACTGATTTAACAGAATTTCTTTTCAAAATAGGACTTGCAGAGCATCTTTAGAACTAATGAGGTAAGAAAATGTCAGATATAGGACACAAGAACACACATAACACATAATCCTAACCCATCTTCACCACTGCTATTAAAACTTGGAAGTTTCAAAACATCTGGTGATATTCTGAATGTCATAGCTTGTGAAAACTCTAGTATTTAAAAGGCTGACTTATGAAAGCCTGATATCTATAAATAAAAAGACATTTTCAGTGAATTAGGGGCTTCAGAAGGTGTTACTGATCTTGCATCGGACACTGCAGCATTTCCAGGATATATACCCAAATTCTTGGCCTGAATTATTTTTGATGAAGACAGAGTCAGTAATCTCTCCTCTTATAATGTCTACATTAGGTTACTATAAATCACGGATTTATGACAAATGAGATAAACATTCCCAAAATACCCTTTGGCAAAATGCTTTTGGACTGCCATTTTGCCAGATTTTTATTTGTCTGCAAAATTGTCAGTCTATAGTGTACAGAGGCATCATTTAGGTTCTGTCATATTGCACAAAAATGCTTTGATGTGTAGCTCTTCCTATTTGTACAGGTTGTGCATATCAGTGAGTCTCCAACTTTTTTTGTATTTGGGCTGATGAACTGCCATGCAGAAAACTCTTAAAAGTCTGTAGGTTTTAGTATAATATTTCTGAAGCTTTTTATTCTGTCACAGGAATTGCCGCAAATAGGCAACAGAATTCTGTAACCCTCCACTTCAAACTGTGCCTGCCCAAATTTAAAGATTTTTTTACAGGTTAAGATTACCAGTTTGGATTTATTTCTACATCAAAGTATTTATCTGATTCCTCAAAATAGGGTAAAACAAAATTTAAAAGCTGCAGTTAGTTTCTGAAGTTGAATTTATAATGCCCTATTACTTTATTACAAGGATACCACAACTCCCAGTGGAGCAATGCTACTGTTAAGATCTAATAAGGATGATGCCCAAATTGGCTTTGACTGCATAAACCAATACTAAAAACTGTTTTCACTTCTACATGCTGAAGCTTGCCAGATTTTTTAAACCAAATATAAATTATTTCAGACAAACAGAAAGCAAATTATTAACAGTGAACTTCATTTTTATAAGGCAGAGCAGAAAAGAACAAGTGAGACTAATCTGAGGAACAATTTCATAGCGTGTCAGAAGTATGGTTTCTGTTAGAAATGCACAAATTATGCCATGCAGTGCTTATAAATTAACAAAAAAAGTATTATAAAAGTGAAGTCCTGCTGTGTCAAATATGCCACACAATTTTTGTTCTGATAATAGCTATTTAGGTTAGGGCGTGACTTTTCTCTGATATAGCTGTGCTAGTACAACCCCTAGTGTGGACACAGTTTACTGCCATGAAGGCATTATATTCATACAATTTATAAAGCTTGTTCCCAAGCAGTAAAGTATTAAGTAATGCACTGTTATTTTAGCACAGCTACGTCCACAATGGGAGGGCTGAGAGAGAAAAAGAGAGGGCAGTAGGTGATGCTACTTTACAACACACTGGGCCAGATGAACAGATGTGGTTTTTGTGTAGAGAAACTGTATGGTACATGTCTTTCCTCCCACCTCCCTCCAAAATCCTGATGTTAATCAGGATCATGATGGATGATATTACAAAACAGCTACTCAATTTAAATGGAAACATTGCTCATTGCTTCTTAATATTTAATTTAAGAAATATTCATATAAAATGTTAATAACAGGTAGTCATAAGAAATATTAACACCTTGATACTAGTCCTAACCGAGCAATAAAAATAGGAAAAGAGATGTAAGTTAAAAGAGAATAAGACCAAAGATATATAGATATATATATATATGCACACACATATATATATATATACACACTCTCTGTAAATTCCCTAAATGATGCAAGTTCATTCTTCAAGAGCTTTATAAATACCAGCATATGATAAATACATACCTGCATTTATTCGACATATATGTATGTGGTGATCCTAAATCATACATGTGGGCATTTCTGCCTATTCTGACACACCTGAATAATTTTAATCCCTTTTAAAAAGTCACTACATATAAACTAAAAAATATCTTCAAAACTAAAATTTATCCACATCACAATTAAAAATACAATTATTCCCCAAGAAACAGTAAACTTACTCTCAATATGAAACATGATTCTTTGCTTTTAAAACAGAAAAAAGCATCATTTAATACAGAATAGCAAGAAAATACTCATACATTATTGTCTCTCTACTTAAAAAAAAAAAAAAAAAAAAAAAGCATTTATTATGAACAGATGGTGGCCAAGGAAGGTATCAGCTCTGTCTCTTAGCCAGAAGGTCAGGTCATGGCTGAGAGACCAAAGAACAATTACTATTTGCTATTTATTGCCATATAAGATAAAACATTTCAGGTTTTTCTTCAAATACAAAGCTAGATGTGATTGAGCTGTTTTCATTTCATTTACATGAAATAGTTTGCAGTTACTTATTAACATTCGTTAAAATTTGATTTAAAAAAACCACAGCAACAACAACAGAACAAGGCAAAAATGAATGAACACTCTTCTTGGGCTGCCTTTGAACATGTTAAATAATACTAGGACTTATACAGAGCTATCTGTGTTCCTAGAACCACAGCTATAAAACAGCTGCTAGATACTGAGTCTGAGAATTTCAAAATGGTTTGTTTTCCCTTTTTTTTAGGAACCAACAATCATATTTGAACAATATAATTACATAATTACTGAATTATCTAATAGTTATCTAATTATCTAATAATCTTTGCTGATAGGAACTCCCTCTCACATCACTTCACTTTATATCAATTTTAAATCACCACATTTTGGTGCACTCATACCCACGCTGATTAAAATACCAGTATGTCAATACATGAGGTTAAAATATTTTGTTAAATTTTGCAATTTGTTCAAAAGGCAATCCTGAAGCGAGCTGGAGAACAGGATATAAAATCCAAGATACTTCTTCAAGTATCTTATTAAACACATCCTGTTTTATTTGTATGCCAAGATTATGCCAACTCTTTTTATCTGTGATATCTGTCAAGGCACAGACGACAAGCTTGTTTTTTGTTTCTCAGTGTCCTTAGGCCTAAAGGATGCAGGAGTGAAAAAAAAAAAAAAAAAAAATAAAAAAATAACAACCCTGAAAAGAAAATGCTTTAAGACCTCTATTTTTCTGCGCTGTAGGAATTTCTATACATGTTGAAGGATTATTTTATCCAATAAGCTCCTCCTTTGGACTTTACTATCCTTTCATTCTAATTTGAATTAATAATTGCTTCCAGACTACGCTTGCACTTTAATAAGTAAACTTACTGTCCTATACAAAACTTTAGGGGAACTGATAAATAAAAATATAATTTTAGAAATACTGCATTTTTCCCTACATATATTTATACACAGGGAATGATGTGTTCAGTTATTTACAAGAAAAAGAATGATTCAAAACCTGTTGGATAGGTTGCCCTAATAACAAAATGCATATTAAAAAAATTATCCTCATGTGCATCTTATATATCTGTGTATTCAGAAGATATCCATTCATGTGCAAATCACAACTATGAAGGAATAACTGAAAGTTTGAAGTCCTAGAGAAAAAATGGATAGAACTTCAACAAAAAGGGCACTTCAAAAGATGCAGATTACACCTGTTCAAGCTGTTTGCCAAGTATGTTGCAGGTTACTCTAATAATCCTTCTTACTGCATGGGATGTTTTCTCAGAGACTACCTGTAAGGCATACGTTGGTTTCTGTATTATTATAAAACCCAGTTTTAGATAAGCAGTAGTTAATGCCAAGTGGAATTTTTCTACAGTTACTTTTTTCTAGAAGGTTACTTTTGTTTTGGTTTTTTTTTTAAACTTCTATGAATCCCAGCATTCATTAACCTTGAATCTTTAAAGAAATTGGAAGATAAATTATTTTCATTTTTGGTATCATTATGTTATGCTTAAAGTCTTTAATGTTCTGTCAGGCTGCATATGTAGGTAATTATGTGTGGATTTATTTGTGAGAAAAAGTGTATAAACATATGTATACAGTACATACAATTTAAGTACTTCGTATGAATACATATGATAGAGTAATTCTATATGAAAGCATGGGATGAGTAATACGCAAAACTGAACATACTAGGGCTGAAAACAAGATTAAGACAACCAAGAGGTATTTATTTAGCAGTAATCGCTGGCTTTTTGCCATTAATTTAGAAACCATTTAACACTAATAAATGACCACTATTAGAAAAATGAATCATTCCAGCTTCTGAAATAACCCTACTTAGGCTACTAGTAACTGCAAAGTTATAGCAGTATTATCTCTTACCTGGTCCTTAATTTCAAGCTCCCTTATAGTTTTTGTTCTGTACTCTCTGAGCTCCTTTTCTGCCTCATCCTTCTTCATTTTGGTTTGATTCAACTGATAGCGCATTTCTCCACACACCTGTTAGATTACACAGACAACATGATCTGTAGCTTGAAGGGTAGACCAAGGTTTGCAATTAGATCTTTTGGTGCCCTCTACAGGTCATTGAAATGCAACATATTTTAAATTTACAGATATTTTAAGGCTACTATGGTAAATGTTTTTATATAAAAAGGTGGATCTCAACATGAACTGCTACATGAATTCTCTATATAGTCACTAACTTTGAAATATGCAGTGCCTTCTAGATTCAAATATATTTGAGTCAAAATTTTGCTAGGTATAAATATTTATGTTGTAAATATATGCCACTAAATACAGTTAAAATACAGCTGCTGGTTTTATATTATTCTTCTATTCTCTGTAAAATCCCAAGAAAGTCTATGTCAACACTTGAAAACCTAGAAGCAAAGGATGGATCACACTCCTACGTAAGGGTATATTTTCTTAACTTGCCAATTTTTCACTGTTAAGAAAGAAATTTAGATGTTACTACAATAATTTTCAAAGTTTGATCAGAGCTTTACAGAGTTATGGCAAACTGAATATAAATTCTTTAAAAAACAATTTAAATATAATTTAAATATAGCCATAGTCCAGAAGAAATGGATCAAAGCAACATTTAAAGAAATCACTTCCCCACAGGACAACTATTCTCTGCTGTTGGAGTGTTTGTCATATTGCCTCCTCAATCCTTTCCACCTGAAGGCTGGTCATCTTCAGAGGGTCTGGGGAGGGGTTAGGAAAAAGTGAAAAAGAAACAAAAAAAGAACAAAACAAAATAAAAAAATTCCTCCCACATAACTTTCTTTATTGCTATGCAGGGATTTCTTCAGTTTCTCAATCCCCTTTTTGTGCCATCACCTCCAGTTTGTGCCTGTATTAATTATGTTCATGTACATAATTAATACATGTATTTATGTATTAATTAACCAAACATAAATACATGCACATTCCCTAATGAGAATGCAAATGTGTTTATTCACAGCTCCTCTTAGACAACTTTCTTTCCAACTCACTCTTTTCCTCCCTTGCTCATATTCTTTCAGCAGACTTGCTTCCTAAATGTGCACCCTTTAATTTGCTGCTACAATCCTCTGTGCTTCTCAAAAACGCTCTCACATATTCTACAATCCAAACTAATTTGTTTTCAGTCTCATACCTCTTCTCATTTTCACTATTTTTTTCTCCTTCTTAAAAAAAAGTTAGGGAAAAAGTAAATATGCATACTATAATGAAATCACTCTAGGAAAAAACGAAGCCAACTGTCGTAACTTTTAAGAAGTAGCATGACTTATAAATGCAAAGGACAGCTTGTGAATTTAGCCACTGCAAATAATGCAAAGCAGCAAACACTCTAAAGAATGGCAAATTTCTAAAGCATTTTTTTAAACACTAAAATATCATATGCAACTAAAAAAATCATAATATGCAATTGCATAGCTTGCAAACCCTGTCTCTTTCTACCTCCTCCTTCCTTTACATGAAGAATGTAACAAAATGCAATATGTCACTTCCTCCAAGTAAAATTAAAGAAATACAGCAATCCTCGCCTTCAGCTTCTCCATTGAGTGTACAAAGTGAATAACACAGAAGAATCAGCAGATGGTGCTGTCCTAATAACAGATTTTTCAGTCTCCTCAGGAATGAAGGAAATTTTTCTCCCTCTGACTTCTGGTACATGAGGAAAAAAATATTTCAGCTAAAACTCAAAACAAAAGTGTTGCTATTTGTTGTTTTTAATAATGACAAACTCAGTCTGGAAACAAGGAGTCAGATTCATAACAGACAAAGATGTTGCTTACATGGCCAATAGAAAATGTCAGGGTGATCCACATAGTCCTGTCAGCTCAATGGTCAGAGGGTTCCTTCAGGATTTTTGAGACTTCTCAGTTTAGTACAGTGACACAAATGAAGCCTTCCAATCTCTCAGGACAGTGCAATTAAAAGAGTATAGGCTATTGCAAGGTGACCACCTATTCAACTTCATACTGATTAACCTTAACTGAAGCAGGGATGAACCGCAGCATCACTCTCCTGAGAGACAGCTTCAAATCAGCAGGCTACAAAATTGTCCTTTTCAGACCAATGAATATTTATACCTATTACCTGGTCTTCACCCCTGTAACTGGTGCTAGTCATCTGTAAACACAGCCTGAAAGACCAAAAGTGTGTTTCAGAAATGGTAAATCAAACCATTCTGACATTCTTAAAATACTCATTCATCTGAAATGGAATTAAAATTTCTAGTAAGTTGCAATGAGTTTTTGCTGTGAATTTTCTGCAATACTTTCACCTATTACTACCAGCTGGGGAAGCAGGGGAAGACAGAAACTGTTGAAAATCTCTCCAGAAATCTCTGGAGGCCTAAAGAACTAATTGTTAGCCAAAACCTTCCACTTAACAGCTGGGGAGGTAGGATGGGCCCTAAAGATTATTGGTAAGGTATATAAACATTTCAAGAGGCTGTAACAAAGTGTTTTTTCATTCTCATGTTAACCCATATTAAGGCTCTAATAGATTGAGAAATGTGCAAAATAAAGAACCCAAAAGTGATATACCTACACTAGAGAGATGTTAAGCTATAATTCTTAGTTATAAGAAAGATTTCTTTGTAAGGGACATACAATCAACGTTAATGAATAAAGCAGTATACTACACACAAAGTCTAAAGGAAAGTGATTTGACAAACAGTGATTTGATACAGCTCCCTTTATTTTAGCACTGCATGTCCCAGTCATGTCAGAACGAATGCAATTTTTACTGAATTTTTAAATAGTTTTAAATAGTATTAAATAGTGATCTGCATAGATTGCAAAGTAGAAAAGTTAGCTTTTGCATGATAAGGTGACTAGGCAGGCTGAAAAAGTTATCTTTTTACTCCTACAGCTGTGCCTGTGGGATGGTCAGATGAAGTCTACATTTATCACACGTTCTTTAGCAAAACAGAAAAACGGAGAAAGAAAAAATTCTCATCTTTCAGGTCACAATGATAGGGAAAACCAAGCTCAATACTCATTTATAAATGTGCTTACCTTATTCATCTCCATTTCATGAGATGCAAGCTGATCCTGTGATTGTTCTAACTGGTTAACTAGAGAGTTCTTTTCACTCGTAGTTTTCTTTATTTGAGCCTCCAAAATGGCCACATTCTCGGACAAGGCTGTCACCTGCAAAAAGTCCAAGGACACTGTAACGACAATTTGACCAACCACAGACCTAAATCTTGTGGGACACTCTCCTCAAAAGCAACCATATGTAGACAAAATTTATAGAATTAAAAATACAATAAAAAATAAGCATGTGCAATAAAATTTATCAGGTATTATTAATAATAAAATATGGTTAAATTATTTTAACAATAGGTTCGTAATTTTGAATTAATTTATGACACAGTAGTTTATTTGAAACTTTTCATCAACTGGACTAGTCTCCAGGAGTTTAAAGTATGAACAAAGTTTCAGAAGCAGCTGGTTGCATTAGTTTTGCAGCTGTAAGAGTACTATTGAACACCTTCTTATGCATCCTTATGTAGATTGTTTTAAACCAAATCATGTTCTCCCAGCTAAAGAAAACTCTCATTGCAACCACAGACTTCAAATTAATTTTCAATTTCAGAAAACATTTCAGCATATAGATCAAAGCATGAGGTCGTACAAAACCCATATAGAAACAGTATATTAAAAATTCTAATGTAATCCACATAAAGTTTTGCTGAATGGTAGAAAAATGTAACAATAAAACAGAGATAGTGAACCTTCAGCTATTTAGCCCTGAAGCTTACTAATATAAGTGGAAATAATGGTGTCTGGCAGTTCTAGGTTAACTTACAGAAATTCAAAGCCAAACCTAGAGGATTATATATTCATAACTATTTTTCACTCCTTATACCTCCACCTGATTTATGTATCACGCTAATTCTCCCCTTCAAACAAATAATTTCATAAAGTGAGTGATAAAATATTCATATTAAGGTTGACTTGATGCACAGTATACCATTTCTACTATCACATTAATCCTGAAACATAAAAGTAGCTAATAATATGTAGGTGTGTATCATTAATACAGACCATAGCTTTCTACCAAATCATCCCATATCTTTAATTATCAAGCATGATGTCATCATAGTGTCACTATATGTTGTCTGATGTGTATTCAGGATTTTAAAAAAGGACTACAACTACTCAAAGTGGGAATCAGTTTCAGTAAAACACATCTCAGTGAGTGATGAAATTTAAAGTAATGTGATGACATGGAGTGAAACATTCTACCAAAAAAAAGTATGAAATGCTTGTCTAATAGGCTGTATTTTGGAGTGAATACTCTGCTCTAAAGCAACTCTGTAGCTAAATAATTGATTTCATAAGAGGGATAACATGATAGTAGGCAGTCAAACAAGGAATTGCTTAATAATGCCTCATTGTCTCCAGTGTAAGCTTATTTTTTTTAATTTCAGTTTCCCTGGCAACAGATTTCTGATGATCAGTTCACTTACTTAAATAACACTTAGTCCCTATCACTGTGCTTAATTCCTGTTTTTATATCTGGAACTGGAGTCAAAGGCTCTGACTTCCTGTAGCAGCTTAAGATATTATTCCACCATCTCATAATACCAGAAATATCACCAGATCACCTTGGCTCCCTGTTTATGTTAGTGGCTTTCCAGTCATTTTACAAGCAACAACACTGCTAAAGAACGTCCCCCCCCCTTTTTTTTAAACACACTTAACTAGTTTATCCTGTTCAGCTCTCTGAATTTTTAGAAATAAGCCATACAGTTTATAAAAGAGCCCCAAAATATGGAAAAAGCTTACAGTCAGCAGAGAAATTCACTCTATTGTTTCCAAATCTCCACTAGAAAATAGTTGAAGAGGTTGCATGTCAAGCAAGCATGAAAACCACTAATTCATGAAGTATTTCTCTCTCTACATTTTCTTTCCTTTTCAATCACCTTAGAAGTGCCTTCTCTATCACGTCTCTCAGGCTTACTGCTGTTAGCATGAGGTTTCCTCTGTAGACTCCACTGGGCAGAAAATCCTTATGTTTTATACTCAAATTGAACTAGCATCAAGAAAAGGTTATCAAGACTACCACAATGGTCACAGCATAAATTGTAAGACAGATTCTGTCTCAGAGAGTTTATAAACATCAGTAAAAGTGAGAAAAGAGATTCCAACACATTTCTGCAGGTGGGAAAACTAAGCATATGATAAGATCACTCTGAAATTTTGATACCATAACATTAATGTATATGTAAGATCAAAGTAGCAAAGAATCCTAAATTTGACATGTGCTAACTTCTCAGTGTTTGACTTGCCAAGTTAAATAATAATTTTTATAAAAGAGATACGTACAAACCTTGTGTCACACATTACTTAACCCTTTCCTACTTCGACAATGTGCATCAGAAAATATTATGCAAACTAAAATAAAGGGCATAACATAAATAACCTAGTATGTACATAGTGACATAGCATAAACCGCAGTAATTCAAATTCAAAGAATCACTTATCTACCACTGCTTTAAAACAATGGTAGAAGTGACTTAGTGAGCCCTCAGATCCAAAACCGAAAATGAAAGACAAGCAAACAGGAAGTTTAAAGAGGATGATGCGCTCATTGTAACACATAAACAGGAAAAGAACCAATTCATACCATTGCTGCCAAGTCCTCCCTTTCTTTCTTCATTTCTTCCCGCACTGCTTCTTTTTCATTAGCCCTCTCATTTAGCTGGGCAGCCAGCTCCCTTTCAAGACAGTTCTTCTGCCGTTCCACCTCACTTTTCAGTTGCTCACAGTGGACTAGAGCCTAAAAAAAACCAACTATTTTCTTAAGTGGAAGAAAACGAAAATTTTTGAACAAATACAGTATTTATCTAATGCTGTCAGAGAAACCAATCTGCTAGAAGAAAGATAATATTTTTATTTTTTATGTAGTTATTATGATGTTTATACATACCCTATTGTGTTAACATCTAAAATAGGACTAAGAAAATGAAAATAGATGTATATGTTTGTATGTATATACATGTCCTACTGTATATACATACAAATCTAATTGCTTTTAAGAGTTAAGGCAAAGACAGAAGAATTTTCCAAATAAGCAGCTGTTCTTCTAAAAACTATGATTATTTGCCTTGCATTTAAAATTCCTGAGTGCACATCACTAGAATCAGCCTCTAATATTTGACTCCTTGCAAATACTGTGGTTACTGCCTAACTGCATAACTTAGGAAAAAGATATGGAAAAATTAATGAAATGTATGCACTTTCACCTATCCTCCCCCTGAAGTGAATTACTGAGTGCAGAACACTAAGAAGAAACCTGAAAGCAGTAAGTAAAGATAAATACAATTTTTAAAACTCTTTTAAGTTTCAGGTTTGTAAAAAACTAATTCTACTAAAAACCTCATAAAAGCACTGCTCAATTTGAGGTGCTAAAACAACAGGTTATGGATGTGTTTTCTATCAAAAAAGAAGAAACATAAGTTGAAGAACACTCTCAAAACACTATCTTCTAAAAAAGCTAGGGGGAAAAAAATATTTATCAATGTTTGCTGCCGTATTTCTGCCAAAGTGATAGAAGGAATGTTATGTCAGTTTAAATCAGAAATACCCTCCTCTCTTAAAAGTAAATCCAAGTATTCAAAGCACCCTAAAGGCAGCTATGCTAGCCGACAAGTAAACTAGATCTCATTTCATCATTTTGCTGATATTCAGGATATCCTGTTTCAAAGAAGCTAGAGTAACCTCCTTTTAGGAATCCTACTGTATTCAACTGTATTTTTCTTTTACTTGAAGCCAATCCCCTGCATTCAATTTTCATGGCATTGGGCTGTTCATGAGGGAAGCAAGTTAAGCCATAATTTTTAAAAAAATGCTCTAACGGTCTCCATTAGTTTTATGTCAATTCTGTGAGACTCTCCACAGGATCCCTTTTCATATCACCAGTCTACCTTGGTGAGGTACCATTGTTTTGACTACACAGTGAGCAATCAAACAATTATTCGTTTATGACATTTATGTTGAAAATACATTCCTGATTTTCCTTCAACTATGTAAAATCAACCTTAACAGACCTCCTCCTTGCCCTACACAACAGGCAAGAGGCCACAAACTACAGAGACAACCAAAAGACAAAAAGAAATGGTGGTTTTAAATGATAAGCACCAGAGGCTGGACTTTTGATCAACAAAGTGATGAAACCGCAATTGTAGGATTTGGAAGCTTAATGTGTTAACCCCTCACTTTTCTTATAAGGACTGTTCTACTGGATTACATGCTAATTATCAACAAAAACAGTGCTGAAGAGTAGAATAGGACTGGGAAAAAAAAGACTGTAGTTACCAAAACATACCAATACATGTAAAAATGCTAAATTAATGCATCATAAGTAAAAAATTTCTTCCTGTTCCTTCATATTAAAAAAGTTTTTAACTATCAAAAAAATCAGACTACTATTCTGACTTGTACACAAGCAGACAGCACTTCACAAGACCCTACACACACGTACACTTCTCTTGCAGAACTGGATGAATAATACCAATTTAATCAACAGAGCATTTATATCAATCTTGTATGCATTTAGTTCAAAAAAAGAAAACAAAACAACACTCTCTCAATTCCATAGTAATTCACTAATAATACAGTAGATGTCACTACCTATCAAGACAATAATTTAGGTCAATATAGACTGATTGTGTATAGAACTAGAGCTAACACAAGCATTAGATCAAAACTGGTTTTAAGATTATAATTTACATAACACCAAAAGCTTCCTGCAGGTAAAATTAGACAGGACTTCTCATCTTCAGAGAGCTCTGATAATTAATCAGTTCTTGCACTGCTCTTATCTGAGGCAAAAAAAGAGTTGTTTGTAAGCATTTTAACTATTCTTGCCAGAGTATGTCAGACATACGATGTGAAAATTATCCTGTTACATGTTATGAATGCCTTTGAAAATTCTTTGAATTTATATCACCTAGCTGTGAAGCTATATCAGAATTTAAAAATTCAACACTCCCTACAGTATTGACGAAAATTCAAGAACTCAAATACAGAGTTCATGTTACTGCTTAGAAACAGTCACACAGTGCAATTGTTTTAAATCTACTACATCATATCAACATATGACAAAGGTCTAACCCATACTTGTTCATTAGCATGAAAACTAACATTTACAGTAAAACTGAACACTGAAAAGCTCTAATTTCTGGATTAATTTACCTTTATTTTTTCCAAATTGGCCTCTTCTGCCATTTGCACAGCATGTTCAACTTGCTTACAAGCATCAGATTCTCTTTGCTGCATCTCTTTCATGTTTTGTCGCAGTGAAACAAGTGCATCCATCAAGTCATCTCTTTCCCTGCATATAAAGAAAAACAAGATATTTCCTCTATATCTTAAGAGAAAAAAACCTAACACCATGTATATAAAATATAAAATATTAACAGATATAACACATAAGGATGGTGGTAAGTGAAGCAAGACTAAAACTCATGGGTTAAGAGTGAAAGACAACACATACTGCTAGCTTAGCAGATATTGAAAATATCACTTGCTTGATGACCTGTCCTTCACTTCAGAAGGATGGACCATTAGAGAAAATGCCAATAATGAGAGCAGGTCTCAAGTCATTAATGTACTAAAGCTGAGCGCATTCTGTTGGCATTACAAAATGGGGATCCCATGCTAAAAAAAAAAAAAATAAAAGCATGTTTCTGAAAAAGCAGATTGATGCAATATGGAATTACACTGTCATGAAAGGTAAAAAAGGGGAAAAATATTAAAAGAAAGGATTAGGTTCAACAAGTAATTCAGATCACTAAGTATATAAAATGAAAATCTGTATCCCTTTGCCACAAACTGGAACTAAACTAATCAATAAGCCACCTTGATTCTACATCTCCTACGAATTTTGTTAACAAAGAAACTAAGATCTATACTAAACAGTGAAGTAGAGTTGGTAAAACTGTAATACTTAACTTCACCTTTTCATTATTTTGTCATGTTAAAAACTTTTACATTAAGAGTTTTAACTATCTGTAGTTGAGGTGCAACTTGAGATTCTGGCTGAAAACTGTTGTGTTTGGGTTTCGTTTCTTTCTTTTCTTGACATTGTGTGAAACGGTAACATATTTTTCTGTATTTGTCAGGGAACTAACAGTCATATTTTGAAATTTAATTTCGACAAGAATTGTACAAAGTTCTTTTGAAAATCCCTACTGAAATACCTTTGGTTTTAATAAACTGCATAACAAGCAGATGTAGCTTTTAGATTTTGTTAAACCTTGAATGAAATAATGGTTTAAGATAGATAAATAGGTTAGCTCAAATCTTTTCCTTTGAGCTGCCTTATAATACAAGAGGACAAGAATGTACTGATTTATAGTTTGTTCATATTTTCCAACATCTGTGATAAATAATTACTTTTCTTACAAATGTAGATTTTGAAAACTGACTTTTCAGCAACAGAACTTTTCCAGAAAATTCTTGGACTTGATATTAGAAAAAAAAATATATAAATCCTGGCAATAGCCATCAAATGCATAGGGATAATATCCACTTGACAGACTACACATACTATGGACTATGTCCCTTCAGTCTCCTTGCTTCTAACTGACCCACTATTCCATCTCCAGCAGGCTCATTCTAAAACTTCAGAAATCCTAAGAAGCTTCAGACATCTGACAACAAACCAATGGCTGTTTAACCAAGTTTGAGAAAGTTGCAGTGTCCTATCATTACTACTAGCAAGTAGAGAGGGAGAGTTTTTTTCAAGGCGGCTGACTAGCAGAATTCCCATGAAAAAAAAATTTAATGCTGTTGGGGTTTCTGAATTTCATATATTCAGTCTGTATAGCTGTTTTTAAAAAAATATTTAAATAAAAGCTAGAATTAAAAAAAGGTTGCAGCAAATAATTTCATTTATTTTTATCCAATAGAACTTCTTTTCCCCGATTTATTGTCAGGGAGGAACTACTACACATGTTTTTGGTCGGAAACGCATCCTACCCCAAGCACCTGACCTACTGTTGATGTATCTGAAAAGTTCCCCAAATGCAAGGAGAACAAAGTGGAGTCAGAAAAAATTCCAACTACAGAAAGATAAGGAACTTTTGCAGGAAATACTCAATCAAAATATGTGGACTTCAACAATATTTGTGCTGACAGAGAGACTTTCCTGTACAAAAAGTGCAGGAAAAAGACTATAAATAGCCTCATTATCTGGACAGCCAAAGGTACCATAATTACATGATAGTGACTAGCATTCTTTCCCAGTTGAAATAAGTAGAAAAACTGAATTATCCATTTCAAAATGGTCGGGACCTAAATTCATTGATTTTAGCATTACGACTTCAGCTTGGGAGTGTATTGTTCCAGAAGTGTACACCTCTCTGTGAATGCAACCAAACATATTGAGACTGAAATGGTTTAATGTAAGCATCCATACTTTCAATGACAAAGTACATACCCCCCAAACCTACTTTGTTAGCCTTTCAATGGTCTGCACATGAACATTACAATGAGTCTGTGCAAGAACTGCCTCGTGCTGTGCGCATTTCAGGCACATTCCACCAACCCGACTACAATTGGCAGCTGAAACAAGTGATTTCTGCTGTTTCAGCCTTCCTTCCAAATCTTTGCATGTCTTCTGAGATTCTGAAAGGTCTTTTCTAGAAAGAAGAAATAAAAAATATTATTTGTGAAATCAAACATTTCTACAAGTTATATTCACATCGAATATACTAAAAAGAACTGTAAGAATCTCTATTTTCCACATTTCAGTAAGCTAAGAAAGACTTTAATAGCGAAATAACAGTTGAACTGCCCACTTAAAGTTATTAATAGAGAAAACATTATGTTAATTTGTTCCTTCCCCCTGTAGTATCAGAAAATAATTAGATAAAAAATTTGTAGGCTTAGATATTATCTGAACAGAGTATAAGACTCATTAGCAAGAAACACTACCAGCTGTATAAATATTTCAATACCCGAACAATTTTCTGTTGTTTTTATTAATAATATCACTAACTTCACAATTATTCTCTACTCTCTAGACAAGAATCCAGATCTATTCAGCACATTCATTCTGATCCAGTGATATACATGAACTTGAGGTCAAACAAATGTGCAGAAAAACACGCCAAGTTTTTCACTTGTCTCCAAAATTTTTACCAGGTGCTCTGACGAATTTTCTCCAGAATTTCCAAGCATGTGTCAGGCTGGGGAGATTGCAAGCAGTAGGAATACTAACATCAGGAAGTTCCAGACAAACGTACACTGTGCATATATAGATCAATTTGACAAATTGTGCAATGAATCCAAAGCTTTTGGTTTGTTATGCAGGCCATCTGGGCAGCACACACATAGGAAGTCTGACACATTCTGGTTGCATCGGATTTACTGTGCACATGATATATACACTGCATGGATGCTTATTTCCATCTGGAAAATCTTCTGTGCACTTTTTCCAATTTTAGTAGCTGGTCTATTAAATATAATCCACTATAACCTGAACAGAATTTGCTCTGCATATATCCTTAGACAGTCATGGCACAACAGACCTATCGTTGGAAAGCCTTGGAAAGAAATCAGCAAGTCCTATGTAAATTCATGCTTGAAGTTAAAGGCAGTTATTATATTACTGAAAGTGATATAATTTCTCACTTCAATTAAAATTTAGCTTTCCAGAACTTACAGTTTGAAAGAGCATGCCTCTTAGGAGAAACAAATCAAGAGGCTGAATAATGTACTTGAGGAAATTTTCAGACTACTTTAGCCTCCAATAATTATTTCTGAGCATACATAACACTTTAAGCCAAGTGGGAAAAAAAATAAAAACAGCTGAAATTTAAGATCCTCATTTACATTCACTAACCAACTAGCTTTGCATGTTTCAGATTTCACCACTGCAGACAGTATTATTTGAACTTGTCTCCCTACCACTTGACTCTTTTTACACAGACAGAAAAGCCTAGAGTTTTCAGATATATGAAACCACAATCTATTTAGGGAAAAGCATAAATTCAGCAGAAGTATCATCAATGTGGGTGTACAAGGGGAAGTTCAGTCCTGAAAACCATATCTTAAAGTGGCTGCCCCTTCCTCTGTTTTTTCATAATTTGCTACCTATTCAAACGTTGAATATTTTGAGGAGTACATGAGGACTTACTTTCAAATGTTTTTGTGTTTAAAGATATGCAAGTTACACAACTGGAAACACTGCCTGAAAACCTCAAAATTATATTTTCCTGCTCCAAAATAATTAAATGGCCTAAAACTAGTTTGATGCTTAAGATCTCTAAAATTTGCAATATAAAATATTAGTAGAAAATTGGTAATTATGGAAGGCCTCACACATGATACAATATTAACTGCTCTTTTTTTCTTTGATTGGTGTACCTTAGCAGACATGATGTTCCTCTGAGGAAAGAGGGTAAAAAGGATAAAGACATCTTATATTGCTACTGTTACTATAAAGTAGCGGTACATGCAATTTTTTTGTTGCTACATTTATATTTGAGAAAACTTTCCATAAAACCAGCTTTCAGGGACACTGTCAGAAAACACAACATTCAGGCATTCAGGCATTCTCCTAGTTAAATTCAGATCAAGAGTGGTTCGTGCTGTTATGTAGTGAAAATTTATTAACAATCATTTTAAGGAAAAAGTAAACATTTCACTTTACCTTAGAGACTGTATTTGAGCATCAAGGATATTGACTTTTTCTTGATAAAGAAGTTTTAGATTCTCCTGTAGAAAAGATGGGAAAAAAGAAGTGTCTTTTGCTTTCTTCATAATAGTCTTTACAAATAAACCTAGACTTTAGCCACATTCATTGTTTTCCCCCGAGGAAATAAACTTGTTGAAATACTAGTGGCAGAGAAACCTAAATATTTCACACTTCTGAACTTCTACAAAATGAACAACCTTCCCATTTTCTTATTTCTATGTACTTTGCCAGAACCTCATATGGTAAACTGTTGCAGCTCCAACTGTAGCCCTCTACAATGATTTACACAAGTTGATGATTGTATCCTGAGTTTGCTTTTGCTTTCCCATAAGTTAGCAGATATTAAAGAGGAATTCTGAAGAACTGGAAGTAGACAGGCTATTTATTTATAATACAGTGTATAATACAGCGAGTTACTTTTATTACCTGGTGAAGAACAAGGTATATGAATCAACCACACTCATGTTAAATGCAGTGTTGATAACAAACCAGATAAAGCACTACAATTTTAGCTCACTATGACTCTTAGAAAGAAGTCACAATCAACACGATTCTCTTGCTTTAAATGTGGCAGATGAAGAAAAATGCAGTTACTGTAAAACTTAGCTTTCAAACAACTGCAGGCATTAGGGATCACTGAGAAGGTTTTCAGCTCTAAAATACTAGCACGAAAATAAGAAAACTGTATTTTTCAGTGAAAAAAAATAATAAATACATATAATTGAAGAATTACAGTACCCTATACATTTCAGAGTGCACATATGCACATGAATAAAAAATATCAAAACTTTTCAGTTAACCAAGTTTTTTTCCCCAAAGACAGCAATGCTACCCTACTACTCCAGAGCAAAAGAAAAATTAATATCTTGCCAAACTAAAAATATAGGATAGAGACAACACTATCTCTAAATCACTAGGATACCTCTGTATGCCTAAAAGCAAAAAGCTTGTAATTCAGCTTAGGGAAAGCAGACTGCATGAAGCTACTTTTGTACCTCACTGAGCCTGTGCTGCTCCAGGAGCAGAACAACTCATCACAAAAGAGCTTGTGTAGAGGGCTACATAAATTACATCAGCTAGTTCCCACCTGCTTGGGCATTGACTTACTGCTAAGAATCTCCAAAGTACAGTGGAGCCATCATCTTTAAACAAGACTTACCTGTGGAAAGTCAACATCTGCAGATACAACTTGCCATCTGTATCTAACTGCATAATATTAATTAGGGCATAATGAGAAGATGAGGTTTAAGAGCATAAAATTTGAGCTCAGATTAAGGTTCAGTCAACCAAAACTCCTCCTGTGTCTGCTACAAAATTAATCATCAGAACTGCAGCAACAAGAAAGGATTGAAAGTTTTTGCAAAGGTAGGACTCTGCAAAGAAAGTTTATACCAACCAGTTCTACAGGCCATTTTTCTATGCCTTCAGCAGCTGCTGTAACAAAAGCCTGATCTTTGTTACATGCTGGTGATGAGGAGACAGGCTGACGCATGCTAAAGTCTTTACCACCTCCAGGCCAGGAGTTCTGAGTATCTGCCTAAAACAAAAATATTAACGCTTCATTTATAATTATGTAGGCTGTTTTTTTAAACAAATGCTACTTATGCAAGTATTGAATCTTATAAATTTCAGTAGAATATAAGAACCAATAAACAAGTTAATTAGGTTAGCAACCTATGATAATGATGTTACCCAAGGAAATCCATGTCTGCAAATTCTCATTAAATTTTGACTAAAATTCAGTTCGCAGACAACCATTTGTATAGCCTTCCATAAAAAGAATCAGGTCAGGTACCTGAGCGCTGATTAAAAGGACAAAAAATAAAAACCTACCGAGGCATCTAGAAGAGTTTGTTCTCTCAATGTGTATTCTGCAGTTAAGAATTTCAGTTTCTGATGGAGTTCCTCATTTTCAAGTACAACTGCTTGTACTCGATCTTTCATCCCAGACAACTCCTCCTATAGTATAAAGGGTCAGCATGTAAAAGGCTCCTTGAGATAGCTATTGACATTGGAATACATCTTGAGACCCAAAGTCTAGATTAACATTCTCAACTATTTTAACCCTTTTAGAGGAAGTAAGAATACTCAAAACATATATGGTATTTTTGCAGCTTGAATTCCCATGTAACTGCTTAAAAAAAAAAAAAAGCTTATTTGTATTTGTATTAGGACATAAAAATGCCCTAAATACCCTTAAACACCAGAGACTAAGACACATGGTAAGGGATCTACCGAATTGCATTTGGCTTAGTTTGGGTCATTACAACAGGCAATCTAAAGTCAAAGTTAAGCTGCTTTTAAAGCAGTTATTCATATTTGGGGGATCAGGGTTTTAATAGGTCAAATATGTTGTCTGATACCTTGCAAAACTTCACTTCTGTTTCCAAATGGTTAATGTACTGTGATTGATCATTGATTATAGGAATGAGATCAGAAAGGGCTGGTGAGTCTCCAGGTACAGCTTCTGGGGGTTTCTGAAGGAAATAAAGAATAGTATGTGTGTTATTTTCCAGTTTTCCATTTATTGCAATAAGACATTGCTTGCATAAAGAATACAATGTACACTTTTCTGGTATGGATTCAAAATGCACACAGAGCTGTTAATGGAATCCTCTCAGAGGAACAACAGGTACATTTCTAGCATTAATTCATGATTCTGGATGAAAACGAGCATCTTTATGCCAATCCCTACCTAGTTTGAAACTGATACAATCCTAACCTCTGTGATCTCAGGTCAGAAACATATCTTTTTGTCCAAAAATATTCCATATTCTTAAATATAATTAAAAACTTGAAGATCATAGAACTCATTTTCAGAAACTCCTGAGGTATCTGGAACTATGATTGGGGAGAGAAATGGAGTATATCTAGAACCATTTGGAAAAACATTTAGAGAAGGAACTCCAAATTTGCAACGTATTCCACCTGGCTCAGTGCATGTAAGTCCCATGTTCCATTAACTCAGAATTCACCTTGATTTAAAGTCTGTTAATATTAACTACTTCATAAATTTTAAAAGAAATGAACCACACTTGTTAAAGTATATATAATATAGCCCTGATAATATTTGTCGCTCATCTTTCTGTTTCTCTGGCTTCTATTCATCCCTCCCTCTTCTCTGAAAGTGGAATGAACACCTTGCAGCTGACACCTCCAGCTGCCTCCCTGAAAAGATTACACCACAGCAGTGCTAGAAAACATGGGAAAACTCCATTTTTTACAAATTATTTTTCACTGAAAAACAGTGCTAATGTTTAACCTGAGAAACATCAGTGTACTGTAAACAATACTGGTAAGAAATGGTTTCACTAAAAAGAAAATAACATGTAGTATATTTTCCCAGTATAAAGAGAGCATCTCTTTGTGACTTTTTTTAACCTTTTTTACAACATAATTGTTATAAATTGATTTGAAATTTATTTGGGATTTTTTAATTAATGTTCTGATAATGTTACATATTATAGGATGAAAGAACAATGGTCAGGGGAGGCATATATTTAAATTAGGCTGAACATTAAAATCAGAACTGAAAGACACATATGATCAGTATGAATTACCAAACATTTATCCCTGAGTCTCAGAAATCCTGTTCACATTTGCATACTTAATATTAAAAAGGATTTATAAAACATAAATGTTTAGCAGTTTTAAAAGCCAGCATTCTACACGGTGACAAAGTTTTGCCAACATCAAAAATAATTTGGCCCACCTTGTACTTTTCCCGAATGCCCCAAATTTCAAACATCTAATCCACAGAATTAGAGAAACTCTGCCACCCTGTAAACTGGCAAGAAACTCCAGCTATAACAGCAGCTTCAGGAACAGCTAGGTTAACCAAAACTCAGCTTGCAGAACTACATTTGTTGTACAAAGCAACTGTGCTGGTCCTTGACCTCAGGTGGAAAAATGTAGAGCAAAAGGAAAATTTCCACCCAACTGTTTGGATGTAATCAACAAAAAGATGTACTCATTTGATGTCTATTGCAACTCTTATCAATGAGAAAGAAAAGGGAATTTTGTTAAGACAATGTAATTTATATGTATGAAGTGTGGTAAAGGTTACTAAACAGTATACTTTCTGTGAAATATTACAGTTAGCTACAGATCATGCAATCATACAGTATTCAGTAGTCATCAGGTATTTCAGTGTAACTCAAAGCAAAATGTTAAGGTTATTGATAATCTAAGTTTGCTTTCCTTGAACTGTGGGGAACTGGGTTCTTCTTATACAAGAAGCATTTCTGCAGTGTCCAGTAAATCACCAGAGAAGCTCGTATTTTATAAGGGTTTGCGATTTTTTTGGTGTGTGCACGCTTTTGCACTTTCACATTTTTTTAAGCTTTACACTGGGTCTGTCTTCAGAACACTTTCACATCCTATCTAGCAAGCAGGTAGAGGACAGCTGCAAAAGAGAATAAGGATACCACTTCACAGAATGCCTCTTACTGGAAACTTCAAGAGGAAGAAATGAGACAATGCCCTACCAATACAGTATATTCCCATTTTTTCCTCTGTTTATTCATCCATTCTTTAACCCACTCCCTGAAAGCACTAGCCCATGTTCCTTAAATAAAAGTATTCCATTTTCTGAATTTTCCACTCTACTAAAACTTCCCAATACAAGTAGAAAACTTCACCAAAGGTGGAATAAAAGATTGTTTCCCTCCCCTCCCAGGCTAAATACAAACGGATACTGATTCACGTCATGCCAAGGTCAACCAATCATTCCCTTGAGCTACAAAACACTCTTTCCTATGCCACTATGAGGCAAAACACCTGTCAGGACAACCATATTAAACTCATGAATTTTAGAACATTCAGAGAAGTTAACTTTAAATCAAATTTCTCAGGGTCAAGACAGTAGAGCTAGGCTCTTTACACAGGCTGACAGCAGCACAGCAGGAACACAGCCTTTAGATTATTCTGCTGTTACCTCAACTTTGACAGCAAAGAGCTGCTTGTCTTGCTTAGTATAAACCAACAGTAGCCAGTGAAGGCTGTCAAAAGATAAAACTGTAACATCTTTGAATTATTCTCCCATAGAGATGCTATTAACTAGCAGCTGCTCTGTAACTAAGTTGTGCACTCCGCATACTTCTGTGTAGTTCTGCTGCAAGAAAGCAGAACCTAGAAGCCCTTGTACGGGTATAAACAAAATTACACAGAAAGCACTGCATTTCTTACATGAACACTTCCAATCCTTTAAAGAAAAAGCATAGTTACAGCATAAGAAGGCCATTGAGAATCCTTGAGGTATAGTCAAAGGAAAACAGAGGCTGCTTTTACAGAAATTTTTCTACATTGTTTATCCCAACTGTTTCCAAAACAAAAAGGACGAATAACCCATACTGCATGATCAACAAAAAAGGAGAAAAGTCTAACCCTGTATTATAGATTCCTTTTTCTTTCACTGTGGTCATAAGCATACAAAGGTCTGGCCATAGCATCCTCAATCTCCTTTATTTAAGAACATAAAAACGATTCAATGCTTCTTTTTCTCCCTGTATGCTATAAAAGTGTTCTCAACATGCATGCCATTCATTCAAACAACACAAAGGAAACCAGAAGAAACATACACAGAATGATGACTTCCTTCTTGATGGAGGGGCTTCACTTTCCATTCTCTCTTGATGTTGCAGCAAAATTTTAAGTTGATTAACTAGGAAGAGACAAAAAACCCCCCCACCATTATAACAAAACATAATTACTTTTTTCAAATAAATTAGTTTAATTTCTAAAAATGATTAAATCATTTGCTTTCAGAGTAATCTTACCTGCATGACTGTGCTGCAGTTCCTGCCTGGCCACATTCCCACAGTCATCATTTTCCTCATCCGCATCATCAGTGCCCTCGTCCACAGAGGACTGGTCAAATCCAACGTCATCCTCACCCTTTGCCAAGGCATATTTCAGTTGATGGATGCTTTCAGTAGCACGTTCTGAAAATAAAAAAAAAAAAGTAATCACATCATTAGCCACAATAAGCAACATAAAAGAAAGTATTTACTGACTGATATTTTAATTGGAAAAAACATGAGAGAACTAAAAGCTTTCAGCATGTGTCTAGCTTGACTACTTGACCTAAACTCAGACATTGAAAGCAATTTCCTAATTCAAACAGCCAAAATAACTACTATATTTACAAAATACTTGCTAAATATTTACTAAATATTCAAAGAAGCAGCTATAAATAACATCTTAGCCCCTCAACACATTAGGAGTCTGCAGCAGCACAAATAATAATATACCCGACCCTAAAACATTTCCTAACATACACACTTTTTGTACTTTTCAATGAACCTAAAGCTCATGCTATATTTTATACAACATGGAGGAGTCAGAACCAGGAACAATATTTTTTCTTTCTAATGATGCCACCACACATTACAAAGCAATGTATCACACAACAAAACAAATACCTAAGTATATAAAATAATAATTCAGCAAACTGAGCCAACATAAAACAGTTACTTAATAAAGACTGATGACTTCTGAACAAGTGGGAAAAATAAATAACAACACTATTCTAGAAAAAAATCCCAAGACAGACAACAGAAAACTTCTTTCCAGATAAATACAAATATTTTCAAGAACTGTCTTACTGACAGTGGTGGTCTTTTCTAATGTTCAGTATATTTTTTTCTTATATTTCTTTTGTAAGAAATTTAATTTTCTTATGTTTCTTTTTTAAGCTGACTTCACAAAAAAACAAAAATTTGCCAATCATAAATGCCATATCCCTCTGATACAGCTAAACATTTCCAATGTGCCAGAAAATAAATTTGAGAGATCTGTAGCTGAGAGATGACAATCGAATTGGAAGTCACAAAATGCGGGCTTGGTTTTGGATAATGATATGTCTAGTTCACACCACAGGACCTCAGACAACTCACTTATTACTTCTTTCTTTCAACTGCCTGTGTAGTTGGAAGATGAGTATTTCATTTCACTTCCCTTTAAGCAATGCATTATACTAACTAGAAAAGACAGAGTAGTAACTTAAGTAGTACGGCTTCATGCAATGTTCAGCAAAGCAGGATCTGCTGTAGTACCAAGTGAACCAAGAAAATGACCTGTACATCAGTCACGGAGGGTACACACTTGGCAAGACAGTCCTCCAACACAATTCACAGTCACTTTATCAGGAATACAGGAAAACATGTTTCTTTACATTTCTCCTAAGTAATGTCACAGTCACGTACAACTACCAGTCAAAACTACACTAAATCAGAAAAGTTCCATTAATAGTTATCTGTTACTAATTTAAAACAAAACAAAAACCCACACTCTCAAAACCTCACTTAACTTTCAGAAACATAAAATCATAGCCATTTTCTTCATTTAGCCCTAAATTCTTTGGAGGGCTATTGTCCCCTAAGACTATAATATATGAAACATTTAGATATAAGTGCCCACAGAACAGGAATTTCACTCTTGTGAGCCCAGTTTATAAGGTAACATCTTCTACTGGAGCAACTGCTACATCTAGAAAAATGGTAACCTTTGCAACACACATCCTTAACTTATTTTTACATGCTTGTAATTTCTAAATTGATATGATGCATAAGTAACTGAAAATATATTTTTGTCACTGGCAAAAAAAAGTTTAAACAAATAAGCACAGTTTATTTGTTATTCTATCTATATGTTAGATAGAATTCAGAAGACATGCCTCAGAGTATAACATATGTTGCTGGTTACAAATATTAATAGCTCCTTTCTTCCAAAGGGAAAGGTAAATAGCAGTTCAAGTCAGAAAACAAAAGCTAGATATGTATTTCTGCCTTCACTTTATCTATCTTTTTCAAGTTCACATCATCCTGACTGAAGCTTGGAAATTGATTTTTTTGCCCACTCTAATGATTCTCTCCATTTTTTCGGTCTTCTCTGCTTGGTTGTAACTTACCAACAGCTTATAAAATATAATCATCATCATGGCTAGGCTTCGCAAACGAAGATTTGGGAATAAAAAAAATATAAATAACCCCCCAAAAAGTATTACATTTAAGAACATGGTTCTCAGTCCAGTATGCCAACCATCACTCTCTTTTTAGCAATGCGAATTTTTAATAAAAACCTGACCCATTTCTGATCTATTAATCTTCTCTCAGCATTTATTTTTAAAGTCCAGTAATCTTGTGGCTGACATCATGTCTTTTGATTTTCGGGTACTCCATCCTTTAATAAATTTAATGCAAAAGAAGATATAAAAGGCACATTTCAAACAGTCATAATTTAGTGTAATAAACCCCCAACACAGTTCACAAGGCAATGACTCAAAAAAGAGGGGTTTAGGTCAAATACTTCTCTTTTGGCATACTTATGCTATTCATCCTTTCTTAAGCATTCCAAGATGCTATGAGGGTGGGAGGGCTAATTGAGAAATGCCAGAAGTATCTCACTGATGCAATGGCTTAGATATTTAGCAAACTATGTTGCAACTGGTTGTTGCCAAGAAATGTTCAATGTCATATTTTGTGGTGTGTTATCTGATAGCAATAAAGTTCCTTCATTTCCCTATTCACTGTAGATGTCTGTCAGAGAACCTGAGTATCAATATTTGCTCCACAGCCAGTGACAAACAACAATACAAATCAAACCAAAACTAAACAAACCCATATATATTAGTTTTTCCCAAACTTCTCTCTGTCTTTGTAATATCAAAGCTTTTGAACTCAAAGGTAGTACTTGATCCACAAAGATAACATAGATCTTCTTACACCATGTACTCTTCTCCCATAAAATATACAGGGCAGTCAGTAACAGTGAAACACATTAAAACCATTATCAATGGGACACTGATGTCTATTTATTTTTTTTTTGACTACTCTTTCCTGCCTCTGGAGTAATGTCACCACATTCTTGAAAGCTTCATCAAGTATTTGCTTAAATGTCTTAAAAGCTTGCCTATTTCCAAATCACAAATGTTGCTGCCATAAGCAAACCACTCGCCACTGAGAAACTGGGAGTTAGGAGTTCACGATGGTGTGGCTTTACATACAACAAAGAAGACTGGAACTGGATGTGTAAAAGGGAATAAGTACATTAAAGCACTTTTTTTTCCAAAGTAAGGGATGCATCATTGAGTGGAAAGGTTATGCCAATGTAAAAACATTCTTTTCAAATATGAAAGAAATTGAGAAAACCTCTGTGGATGAAAACTACTGGACACCAAAGAACCTTTACTTAAAGACAATATGATAATTTTTTAATTAATTTAGAAGTAATTAATTTTTATGTGCTCCCACAGTCAACTTTTTCATTTAGGCTACTCCTGTAAAACTACATTTTACAGAAATAGGACCTCAGTAAAATCATACTGCAGAAAACTGCTCACATGCAGTCCTACGATTCACATATCAAAACAAGACTCTACAAATGAAATCCAAACATGTATTCCTGTTCTATGATAAAACATCATTGATGTGCTATTTTCTATAGGAACAGCTGAGGATATAATTGAAATTGGACTCGTGGGTCAAAACTTAAAAACCCCCACTTGTTTCTTTAAAACTCTTTGGTTTTCAGTGTTTAAAGGATCTGAGACAATTATGAAAAATGGCAAGCTAGCACCCAAATCTGAGGGATCAAACTCAATACATTAAAAAAAACCAACAAAACCCAATTGCTCCATAAAAATGCTATCAAGTTGTCAACTATCATATATGAATCCCAGGCAGTACGTGCCACAATGGACAGGCAGACAACTTATCCAACACCTTAGGAATATATAGAAAGAAATATATTACTGCTTATTATTTCAGAGACAGAAGTAACCAGCAATCCTAATCCAAGATCAAGGCCTATTATTCCGGGTACAAAGATATTCCTACTCCTCAATTCATCTAAACTTGAATGCAACTCTGGACTAGATTAAGTTCAGTTAAGCATAATGCTTTAGACAAAACCAATAGAGCCATGACTGAAACATTAATTAATCTTCAAAAATAACATGACACATATTCTACATGATGAATAAAGATACTTCTCTGCCCTGAAAGAAACATTGATAACTACGGTTATTTTCTGTACTCATTGTAACTACAAAAATCTAAGTATGACGCCCTGAAAATATAATATAGGTAACCTTTTTCCATAGAAGTATCTTTGTATAAATATAAATGGCAGATTTTTTTTTAATATGGGAGTGTCAATCCTACTACTGAACAACATTTTTTTACATTGGAGGCACAGAAAAGATCCATTCAACTTGTCAAAAAAAGAAAAAAAAAAAAAGAAGACAGAAGATAAAGTCAGGAAACTCTGAAGTAAAATACAACATGAAGAGGTAGCTGTATCTCCAAAGTAGTAATCAGCTTGGGGGGAAACAAAAATACTTTAAAAAAATAATTAAAATAAAAATCAGTGTAAGAATAATTTGCCGCTGAAGTGAAAACAGAAAAAAAACCAGAGAAAGCATTGAACCGGGTTAGCATTGCCTGAACAAGAGATGTGTTTTCAGACACTGCACAAGACTGCTTATAAAGAGTACTCCTTTAAATGAAAGCACCAAAGTTACCTCATTCATGAACTCGGAAATGCCATAGAAAATACTCTGGAAGCTAACGGAGAGTTTAGCAAAGGAACCAACCATCCAAAACAACAGAATTGCCTGAAAGACATGGAAAATAACTCCAGCTGGTAGAAGCATTAAGCAGCATAAATTAAAGAAAACAAACTACAACTGTATGAAAAAGTTGCCATAAGTCTGTCATCTAAAGCTGACAGTCCAGTTCTAGTAATGTTTACAGGAACATGAAGTTACTGGCTATAAATTCAATAAACAGCTTCGCTTTCTGATATCTGATGGTTCCCAAACAGAAAATGGTCTTAGAAAGTCAAAGAAGAAGGAATTACACCAATTCTTTAGGCCTTAAAAAAAATTATAAACTTATGTGAAACAGTTAACTGACAAAACAGACAATTAGACAAGTTAGTGAAAACACAAAGATTATGACCATTTAAAGAAAACTTTCCTGTGCAAAAGTATATCAACTTTTACTTAGTTTCTATTGACAGTTAAAAATCTAAAATTGTACATCATGTACCTCTTCTGAGATAGCACTTCAGCCAACTGCTGAAAAATACTGAAACAGTGAATTTGCTTGTAAGTGGTTTTTTGGGTTTTTTTCCATCCTGGAATTTATTTTTCATTCTGACATGCAGCTATTCTTCTGCATTGGTTGCCAAACACAGGCATGCTGCCACGCTAGGTAACATACTATATGGCAGTTTTGAGACTAAAAGTATCCTATCAATTACTACCTGTGCTGTTAGGATATTACATGCAACAATGAGCAACCCCAGGCTGTTCATTAGCTAGGCCTCAAAAAGTCCCAAGATGCGTGTAATGCTCAGATATTTCAAAATCATGAATCCTTTTAATTTGGTTTCTTGGACTTCATTGTTGCTTTGCATTATATGAGAACTAGGTGGTTTTTCAACACAGTTTTACCAAATTACCATCTTTAAGAGAAAAGTGGAAAAGTGTTCTCTGGAGCTGCAGTATTCATTGTCATGAGTTCCTAAACCAGCACTTGCCTAAGGTATAGAAACCCTCATGTGTGAAAGACTCCCAAGCATTTCCCAGTTCCTTCTGCCAGATTCTCCACCCTTAAATGAACATTTTATGTTCAGAAGAAGACTTAGAAACAATTACCTAATAAAAATAAAAAGCCTAAGCAAAAAACTTTGCAATTATAGGTTACCATTTAGAGTGTAACTCTTAGCTGGTTCAGTGTCACAGCTAACTTGGAGAGATGGTAACTGGGCCACATGCTCATTTTTCCTAAGGTGACTTTGCCTTCACATCTCTCCTGCTTTATTTTTGGAGTCGCATAAAGCAGCCGCAACATAAAAGTTTATTTGTAGAAGTCCTATATTTTCTTCAGTTCCTCTTACACTTTGCATCTTCGTTCTCTGAAATTACATAGGACACCGCACTCAGTAACACAGTGGAATACAGAACATAATTTCCACAATTTCTTAGGGCAGATTTACAAGATGACTGTACCTAAAAGGGATGGTCTGCCCCTCCTCTTATACTGTCTCTGGCCCAACAGTGAGCCAGTGCTCTTTACTGAAGAGGCAGAAAACTCAACATAAAAAATAAGTTAAATGTTCTCTATTCGAGGAACCAGACAAATGCTAGAAAAAAAGAAGTGGGCTCTACATGGTCTTCTCCATTTAATTCTGCTGGGAGAAAACTAGAAAGTAACAGAAAGGCATAACACCCTGCTCTTGGCAGTGGTGTAGTAGAAGGCCCATTGTACATTCACATTATGCCTGTAAATTTTTAGTTATTAATATGAATACTATAGCACACCATTTACTTTCCTTTACAAAATACCTCTACTCCCTTGAGAATAACTTTTTATTAGAAATGTTATTATCTCCTAAAGTTTTTACGGTTCTTTTGGAATGATCTCAACTGTGTGAAAGTTAACACAGTAACCTAATAACCCCAGCTGTAAAAACACCACCCTCTTAACTCATTACTACACACAGCGTTACAGACTTTCATTATACAAGGTCTACACTATTTAGAAAAAGCTGCATTATAGAATCTTTGTTATTTTATCAAAGTCACTCTGTTGGGTTCTAAGATCAGTCAGGTCTTAATCAGATTTTTTGGTCCAGTTTTCTGCCCTTTGGCCACAAGACACAGTTTACTGAACACTTGGGCTCCCTGTCTTCTGAGGGATTTCCCTTTGCAACAAAGGCACTGAAATAATCAATTGCTCTTTGAGAATTTATAAACCCATCCCTCAAACTGAGTAAGGCTGTAAAATGATTCTTCTGGTGTCCAGCATGGGTGGTGACAACCTGTTGCCATGTGTCAGCCTGGGCCCAGATAATGTCAAGCATTACAGGCAGTTTAAGAATGCTGCTTTTTGAAACCATCAAATAATGCCCAAGGCATGCCACCTGAAATTTCAGAATCCAGATGACAGGAACAATATCAGTGCGAAGAAGAATCTCAAGCTGTACAACTATATAAGAAAAATAGGTAAAGAATCAGATTTAGCCACTTTGAGAGTAACGGTGATCTCTTTGTCCTACAGTAAATTTCTAACAGTGATGATGTGAGAAATGCTGCACAGCTCAAAGGAGTTAAAATTGCATATCACTGAGAAATAAAGAGGTTCTTTGAGAAATATAATGGAACTTAGGTTATATCACCGTGCATCGGGGTTATGTTTGCAACACCTGACTGATTTCTACTGAAAGGCAACCCTAGATGTATGAAATCAAACCTATCTTGGCATTGTTTGAAAAAAAAAATCCTTGTTTTCAAGAATGTAAAGGGAAACAGATCACCAGAAGTTCAGGTGCTGAAATTATTTAACAAACATAATGGATCCAGCGTAAAGGGATCCAGTTAAAGATTAAATGCAAATAAGTTGTATGAACAGAATACGTGTCCAATCATTAGATATGATGAGCTCTAATAGTAGTCTTACACACAGTTAAACAGCCTTGATAATCGTCATTTTAGCTGTTCTACCTGCAAGTGTCAAGCAGCATTACCACCCTGCCTACTTCATCAACAGGCGAAGTAAATAGAAATTATTCTTCAAATTTCTATCTTCTGGAACAAATTAAACATATCTTCCACAGAGAGAACTGATGCTATTTCAAGAAGGAAATACAAAATACTTGCTAAGAATCGAATAGTTACTGAAAAATATAAATAGCATCACAACAGGTCGTGTGTGGGCACTGTGCCCAGAACACAACTTTTTGCGTCAAATGGGGTCACACCCACAAACTACCTAGAGGCTTTCGTCAGAATTTGGACACTGCCTCTGACTAGTCAGTGATTATCTGAAAGCCGGTGAAGCCCAGGTGTCACAGCTGAGGGGCTGAAGTGTTCTCTGCCAGGGTATATACCTCGCTTCATGGACAAGGCGGCTGGTACAAAAACAGTCAGTGACATGGGAAATAATCACTCCCATTGTAATTAGTTCGTGCCCTCATCTTTACCACGACTATAATCCGATGCCTCAACGGCGGCCAAAGCCCTCACAGGGAGCAAAACCCCACCTGAAGCAGAAGCGGCCCCATCCAAACCAAGTTACGATGGGACCAGCACGTGTCACAGCACTCACAGCCACGGCCATCGGCTGCGGAGAGGACCAGGAGCAACTTCAGTGCCGCCGCCGGGGGCCGCGCCGCCTCATCCTGCCCGGCCGCTCGGGAGGCGGCGGGACGGCGGCGCGCCAGCCGCGCAGGGGCGGCCGGGCGCGGATGGAGCGGCTCGCCCTCACCCCGCGCCAGGGTCGCTCACCTCGGAGGCGCCTCTGGTACCGCTCCAGGGACTCCTCCAGGGCGCGCTCCCGGCGGGGCGCCCGCATCAGGACGCCACCGCTCCCGGGAGAGCCGCCGGCGCTGCCCCCCACACCGCGGAGCCCCAATAGTTCCACTCGTCCTGCCTTCCCGGGGAGGGCTCCCAGAGGAACCACCTGCGCAACCCCTGCGGCTCCCGAGCGCCGGCCGTTCACGCCAGCCGCCCCGCGCCGCGCCGCAGCCCAACCTGGCAACGCGGAGAGCCCGCCACGCCTCCGGGCGGCGGGAATGCCGCCGCCAGGACTACACGTCCCGGCATGCACCGCGCCGCGAGGGGCGGGACCCAGCCGGCCTCCCCTCGCCCACCCCTGGCAGCGGTGGGAGGGTGGTCGCCGCATCCTCTCTCCCCTTTGTTGTGGATCGCGGCCGCGCTCACGCCTGCGCACAGCGCAAGTCCGCCCGCCCGCGCCCTCGGGCCCGCGGCGGGCGCAGCGCCGGTCCCATCGCGGCCGGGGCAGATCGGGCGGGAAGCGGCGTTTACCTCCGGCCATCGCCCGCTCAGGGGGCGCCCGGGGTGCGGGCAGCGCTATTGTCTGCGGCCGCGCAAGCGCAGCGTGGCCCTGCCGCCCCTCGTCCGGCGGCGCATGCGCAGTGCGGGCAGCGCCGCAGTGCCCGTTACCCGCCGCTATGTGCAGGGAATAACGCCGGGGCCGTTGCCAGAGGGACACCGAGCGCTCCGCCCCCGCATCCCGCGGGATGCCGGCTCGCTGAGCACCCGCTAGCGACGGCCCCTCCCCGGCGCGGCGAAGCCTCCTCGGAGGGGTGAGTGAGGATGCTGCTGCTGCCGCCGACGCCGCCCCGGGGTGCGGGTCGGGCGGGAGCCGTGGTGGGGAGCGGGGCCGCGATCGCGCTGTTGGTCCGCCCGGTGCCCATTGTGCCAGGCGGCCCCGCCCGCCGGGACCGGGGGGCTGCGGCCGGCGGAGGGGGACCCGGCACGGTGTGGGCACAGTCAGTCAGCTCCCCCTCCCCCGTCCCCGCCGGGCCCGGAGGTTGCTCCGCGCCCCCGCCTTCCCTTCTCCTTGGGGCCGGGGGCGGGGGATGTCGCCGCTGCCACGGGGCATCGCCTCAGGCGGGATGCGGGCGGCGCCCCCAGATCCCACTGCCCGCGTGTCCCTGCACCTTTCCGCCTGCCGGGCTCCTCCGGCACACCCACCAGGGCCTGGGGCTGCGCTCCTGCCTCCCCTCCCGAGGGCGGATTTCCGTGATTCCAGCGGAGACCTTTCCAGAGGTTTAATTTTTTTTTTCGGTTGCCCCCTTTCACTGACCGCCCCGGGGCTGGAGGCGGCATGTTTCTCCAGATTTAAAAATCAGTGACACTCTTCGTTTGAGATGCGGCGTTTCCCCCCGTCTCCTTTGAAATAATGTCTTCTGGGAAAGGATGATGGAGAAAATCTGCGGGTTTTGCCTTTTCTCCTATTGCGTATTTTCACCCCACGAGGCGGGTCCCCTGCGCTCGAAAACACCTTCCCGAAGGCGTGAGCTTTTCGCTCTCGGGGGCGCTTTCCCGGGGAAGACGTGGAATCGCGGGTTTTTGTCCCCGGTGCCGAGGGGCAGCGCGGGGCCCACTTTGTACGGCGGCCGCGGGGCCGAACGGGTTACTGCGCTAACAAAAACCCGATGGCGATTCTCGGCAGAGAGCGCGGCGCAGCGGAGGAAGCGGGAGGGGAGAGGAGGGGCGGGGCGGAGCGGAGGGCGCTCCCCGGGCCGCCCCCCCGGTGCTCCCGCAGCTGCCGGGCAGCAGTGCCCGTGCGAGCCGGGAGCGGGGATGGCCTACCCTCGTTGGTATTTTGAGGGCCTTGTTAAGATGAGCCAACAATTAGCCCATCAGTGCTTGATGGAAAAAAATGGGATGTAGATGCTTATGCTGATGAGTTGCAGATACATAAGGATCGCGTTCTTGTGACAGGAGATTAGGTAGCATCCACTGATCTGCACTTGGAGGAAATTATTTTCTTCCCTGTAAAAGCAAAGGTGCTCATAAAATATTCAAGTACTTTGAAAGAATAAAGCCTGTTCTATTGCTGCGATGATCATCTTTTTTGCTTTGAAATGCCATTCAAAGCATTGTGACAGTGTTCATGGCCTTGGGCTTGTGTCTGTAATGTGATGTGTGGGATGGGACAGTTTTTGTAAACTGAACTAAGACATGATTAAATATGCTGTGATTTCCTATGATTAATTTCCTCTGGGAATTACTTTATGTCCAGATGCTGAGAAGTCTGCCTTACTAAACTCTGCTAATATGAAAACTCCTCAACTTTAAATTTTATTTAATGGGGGAGAAAATTTAAACATAAACACCACAAAGAAGCTCCCTTTACTCTTGGATTATCATTTTCTTAAATTCTTTGTCACCTTCATGTAAATGTTTTGTTGTTGTTGGCTTTTTTTCCCCTTCCTTGTCTGAAGGAGATCAAGAAGGCTAGCTGAATAGAGAGAATAATGCAGCTGGGGATACACAGGATTTTGTCCAAATCTCATCTGTAATAGATCAGATAAAAATGTTTTCTTTAATTCTTCTGAAGATAAACATTCTAACATATCATTTGTTTACCAAATTTATTTCATCGTGGTAGTACATTTGTTTGGGTTTTTTGACCGTGTGGTAGGTTTTCCCCATATCTATTCTTTTGAAAAGAACAAGGGGTTCTTCCTATATTGTGCTTCATCGGCTGTAATGGACTTGATAGGCAAAATTTTTTAAAAATTCCAGTGATGATATACCAATCAGAAAAGATCCAGCTTGTGAAAGTGAACTGTCAAAGGCTATGTTCAGTTGTAGGTGGGAGCTTGGAAGCTTCCTCAAATGACTGGAATGAAACCCAAGGCTTGAGTAGTTGCAGACATGGATTTTGCAATACCATTTCTACTTTTTGCAAATGCAAGGAAAAGGTATTTAATGTATATCGATACCATCAGATCTGCTCGAACCTCCTAAAAGGACAATTTCCGTGTTAGCACTGCTTTTCTTAGCTTTGTGGGCAGAGTGGAACTGAGATAGAACAGATTGTTTTTACTTTAGCTAGAAAGTAAGGAAAAACTGTGAAATTCTGGTTTTCCCGTAGAAAATTCTGAACAAGGGAGTCAGGCATGGAATCCATGAAAATAGGAGAATTTGTACAAGTAAATTCTGCTATCTGCTCTAGCACGTGCAAGGTTGTAGAAGGACACAATGGCATACACTTCCCTCTCTTTGAAGAACATGCTACATGACATCAAAAAAATTGATTCTGTTTGCAATTTGAGAAAAGGAAGTTGTTTGTTACTGAGGGACGGAGGTTCAAATCTGCTGGCTTGGAGCTGCCTTAGATATGTGTATCTCTTCGAAGGTACACATCTTCACTGCACTAATTGATCCTGTGGGGGTCTTTCATTGTCTGTTGGCTTTCTAGTGCTCTTACGGAATGCCTGCATGTCTTCCGTTCTATTATTGATCCTTCTGTATCTACACATTTTCAGTGGACTGGTCCACAGAGAGCAGCTTCCCTCAGTGCACGATGCTAATGTTTCCCTGGATCAGAGTCCATCTAGGGCATTGAATGGGACAGGTGTCATGGGGAAAAATAGTATGTGATCAAGTGACTTAAACTGTAACATAATGCATGTAAATTAGAGTAGGAAGAGAGTAAAAACTACTTGTTTAAACTACTTCATGTCTGTCTATTGTACAGTTATATGTGCAAAAAATATTGAAATAAATTGCAAAGGCTTGGTTCTTTTCTTAGTTTAGTTTCTCTGACTCTACCACCAAAAAGCTGGGGTGCTGTTTTTATTTTACAGGTGCATTTTTTTGTAGAATGATCATTTTAATTAAAATTGTGTTTGACCTTCAAAAGTCCTCATATATTTTAAATTAATATATGTGATTTTCTATCATATATTATGTAAAAACCTGCTTGTCCTAGGCATTTCAAATAAAAGCCACAAATATGTGTGCTGTACTCTGCTGCATCACTGAAGTTGAAGTGTGTCGTGCAGGCTCTTAGATGTGGGTAAGAAGTAAGTCAGAGAGTAGGTGGATATTAAAGAGACTGAGTAGCAGTATCTTAATGCCTCTGCATGGAGTATTCCCAGTATTCCCAGTTACTCACTCTCCCCTGGTTTCGCTACAGCATGGCTGTACTGCTCTATTGCAATGACTCTGGTAGTTTTCTAAGTACCTGAGAAGTTAATTCACTCCACTAACTGAGCAGAACACTATTTCTTTTCTTTTTGTTTTGCTTTTTTTAGTTTTTCTTCTCTTCCTCCCTTGAATTAGCAAATTGAATTATCTTATTGTGTGGTCAGATGAGTGCCAGAGCAAGTACACAGAATGGGGACAGCAGCGTCAAGCCAGGAGGAGAAGAATACTCATTCTTCCAGTAGCAAAGATACATGTGGTCTACTTTACTGTCCTACGTGGTTGTCCTTTGTGCCACTGTAGGCTACTGCAATCAGAGAGGAGGTGGGTTATGCATAAATCCAAGAAAACAAAATTAATAAGATACTGGGTTTGTTCTTGTTGTTAGTCTTTATTTGCGGTCCTTGATACATAAAATGCCCACAGCCACAGACTAAATATTCAGAACATATCACTGGATGAAAAAAATATTTCTCTGTAAAGTACGTGTTAAAAGAGGGGCTAGAAGTGGTTCTGTTAAGCTTTGTGGTCTTTGTACTAGGATAAGCAGGATTTTTGTGCCAGACTAATATTGGTGTCTTCTCCTTTACAGAATTTAAGGATGTAAATTTTCAAATATTTTCATAGTTTTCGTCTTTGTTACTTACTAGTTTTGATGCATGTGGTTTTTGTGAATTGTAGAAAACTGCTATTAGGTATGTGTTTAGAGAAATTGTTTTTATTAATTCAAAACAGGGATTGAACCACAATCTCTCTTTTTATCCCTTGAATAGAATATATTCTCAGTAAAACATGATAAATTTTTCCCATATGAGTTCAACGTATCTGTCAACTTTGTTTCTCCTCTGAGAAATTGTTACTGAAAAAATAGACTTTTCCTTTGCTAGGTGCTTTGTAGAGCTTCAGGATCCTCCACCGGTGGGCCTAGTAGGCTGATTCAGATCCATCAGTGGCAGCCCTCTTATTGCCTAGCTTCTTTGGTTGGTTTTGCTGCATTTCTTTCAGCAGTTGGTGGTTTTTTTTCTTTGCTTGTTTCTGTTCTTGTGAACTAAAATGTTTTATATTCTGATCTAGTCCATGAAACTTAAGAGGGTATTGTTCGTGACAAATAGCTGAATCTTCTGAAGTCCCTGTGGTGGTTTTTCCAGATGTCATCTTATCTCATTCTGTACTTCATTCCAAATGAAATTCTGGTTCTGCTCGTTTTGTTTCTTTCCAGGAAGAACTGCAATTACTGAGCTTTTCAGAGACATAATAACAGAAGTGATGCCACTCCCTGGCATTTCCAAGATGTTTCTTTGTGCGCAGAGTATTTAGTTAGTCTTCAGCTGTGATATATGAAAAACTTGTAATCAATCCATTAGCAAATCATTATGGTCTGAAAGTAGTAATACACTCAGTGCATTAAATCAGATGTACTTGTAACTTTTCTCTCAAAATTA